TGGACCCGTAGAAGATTTCAACCTTGATCTCATTTGTAGCTTGGCGCACGCACCTTGGGCCTGTTGCCGAACCTGGGCCGTTTTCCAATACTCGACCTCGATGAGTTATAGACTTCAACTGTTTTTACTACCTGACTTTAAAGCCACAAGCACATTAGTAAGTCTGGTTGTGCCTAAAAACATCAAATAAGATGCAAAAGAGCCAAACATTATGGTACTTTTTCAATTTAATTTAAACACTTTAGGACCACAATCGGGGACTGGTTTCGGAGACGAACCTAAATGGAGACGAAATTGAGTATTGGAAAACGGCCCTAAATTGAGCGTTTACGAAACGACTGGATTCGGTGGGACTGTGGTGTACATTTTGTAAAGATTATACGGCGACAACGAGGCGGTCGTCGGTAATGCTACGATCGGTTTCTACACATTAAACTTCACTTGTGACAGCCGGCTACTGTGATGACTTCGTCTTATCTAAATCAAATGAACATTATGAAATATGCTATGGTTTCAGTCATTATGTCGGATATTCAGAAGTACGGTAAGCAGTGTAAGAATATAAATTACTTATGACTTAATTTGTTGAACTCAGGTAGCATTAAATGTAATATCCAACTCTAACGTAATTGACATCAAGGATAGAACACTGAACATATTAAACGAAAGAAAAAATTTCAAAATAAGGCGCACACATGCAACACAGGTGCACGTTGATGAACGTGCGGGCGCAAAAATTAAACCAACAAAACGCGTATCAACATGAATTTAGTCCTTAACATCCCAGCCCCTTAAATGTTGCTATACGAACCAACATTTACAACTAATCATCAATCATTTGACACCAAGAAGCTACTAAAAGTTATGAAGTTACATTAAAAATGGTAAAGTAAATCTTAAAAGTTTAAAGCATTATTTACTAGTTTTCTTCGAATGTAAAAACCAACAACAAGAAAGCAAAAACAAACAATAAGTGGTGGGGAAAAGCTTACTGAGGCCGGATATATTTAATCCAGGTCGCCTTCCAGGAGGCAAAGCTTGATGATCGGCCTTTTGAGGCGTCCACTGTGCGTACGAGTCCATCTACCTCAGGAAAAGCCCTAGTGACTCTGGCCAACGGCAACTGGCCACGAGGAGTGTTGTTGTCACTGATCAACACGATATCTCCCGGTTTGAAGTTCCTTTGAGGCTCAATTCATCTTTGTCTCTGTTGTAGGGTAGGTAGGTATTCAGAAATCCAACGTTCAAGTTCCAGAACATCTCTGTCAAATACTGAATATGTCACCCGGTGATTTTTTTCCAATATTTTTCTCTTTCAATCCTCTCAGTGGGATTGGATGACTAGGTCTGAATTTGAGCAAATGACTAGGCGGGAGGGCTTCCAAATCATTCGGGTCGTCTGAGACTGTAGTGATAGGCCTATCATTAACTGATTCTGCCTCACAAAACAGTGTACACAGACGCTCTCGTCCATGACTTGATCCTTCATTAGTGCTCCAAGCACTCACCTTCCGTACGGTTTGTATTGGCCGCTCCAGAAATCACCCACGTGTGAAGCAGCAGGTGGGTTGAATTTACACTTAATGTGTTTCTCCACGGAAAATCCATGCAATTTGCTGTCCTTCTCTAACTGAGAGATAGCCTGCCTTATCTCTTTCTCGCCTAGCTCCAGCAAAGTTCGTCCCGTTATCTGACAGCACCTTTTCTGGGGTACCTCGTCCGCTCGTTGCTTGACACGAGGCATCTTTTTACAGCAAACTCGTTCAACACAAAAAGCTCATCAAGACACTTCGCCCAGTTTTCCCTGAGTTTTGACCTCCAAAGGATCATCCCAACTCTTGCCAACTATACGGCATTCGTTCTGGAAGAGGAGCTTCGCCCGAAGGACATACGGGCAAACAAATTCCAATGGATCATATACTGAGCAGATGACGCTAAGTAATCCTCTTCTTGTCTATGTTTCAACTTGATCATCATCCTAAGTAAGTCACGTTCAGTGTCCCAGTGGACTCCCAATGCTCTCTCAGCAGGGAGCTCTTCTTTGTTGAGATCGAGGTTCTTGACAACCGCTTTGGCACTCTCGTCTGGCCTCACAGATTTAATTACTCTTGTGCTATTGGTGATCCACTTTGTCAGACGGAAGTCCCTTTTGCCAGTAAGTTGGTCAATTTCTTCGCCATGACTACTGCGTCATCCTCAGAATCTAGGGACTTCAGACAGTCTTCCACGTAGAAATTCTCGTTCTTGTATCCACCACTGAAGTTGTTCGTGTTATCTTCTCCCGTTCGTCTGTGGACATAACTTGCACAACTGGGGCTCCTTACGCCTCTAAACAGGTGTACTGTCATGCGGTACACGTCTGGGGATTTCATGGTATCACCGTCTTTCCACCAAAGGAATCTCAGGGCATCCCTATCCCTTTTTCGAACTTGCACCCAATGGAATATCTGCTCGACATCAGCCATTATTGCCACCGGGCGCTCATGGAAGCGTGTCAAAGCACCAATGAGTCGGCTCATCAAGTCCAGACCCTGTTAGACCATACCATTCAAAGACTTGCCTTGACTCTTCGCGGCGCAAACAAACACAGTTCTCAACTTTTCTGGCTTGTTGGGGGTGATGACACAATGGTGTGGCAGATACCAAGTTCGGCCTTTTGGCAGCATTAAGTTCCGCGTCTAGTACCTTTTCTGCAAAGCCTCGTTCCAGAAAAAAATTTATCTCCTTCTTGTATCTCTCCTGTAGCTCAGGTTTATTCGACAATCGTTTGCCAAGACTCTTCAGGCGCAATTCTACCATAGGCTTGTTATATATCCACAAGTTTCGGAGGGTTCAACTTAAAGGGTATTGCTAGCTGGTAGTGGTCGTTCACCAATATGATTGACTCATTCCAGATCTTGACTGCCCTTTTATCTTCAACAGATGCAGCACAGGAATCATGATCATCAGCCACAGTTCCGGCGCTGTCTATTTTCCAGAATCTTTCCAGATTCCCTTGCACAAAGTTTAAGAGAAAGCCGTCTCTGTCACTTTGCGTTCAACAGGGCCATTAACTGTCCAACCGAGAGACGTTCGCACTGCATAGGGCTATCCCTCGTTGTCATACCGTACTTCGAGGGAATCAGCACCCCTGGTGCATCTTTACCTATTAAGATGGTTACACCTTCTGCGGATACTTTCGGAATTGGAATATTTCTGAGATGACTGTAGCTGCTCAGGTCTTCACTCGTAACACAACTGTCCCGCAGTGACGAGAAATCTTTCAAGGCGTACACCCGGGGCAGATGAAACACCTTGCTTCCACAACCCTTTGCGCCAGATAACGTCAAGCGTAACTTCGAATGTCTCCACCTGTGAACTCTTGTTGAGGGTGTTGAGGGTAAGGGGTCGCAGACTGCCTCGTATGTCCAGTGTCTTGATTAGTTCCATAGAGCAGATACTTTTGTTGCTCCCCGGGTCGAGTAGACCGTAGGTCTGGACGAGATTGTCAGAGTAATACTTGTTCATTGCAATTTGCGTCTGATTTATTGTGCATTCTCTCGCAGCAGAACGCCTATGGTAAATAGAACAGTCTTGTTAAGCGCCGATTCGGCTTGACCAAAGTTTTAGAGAATTTTTCCCGCCGAACGATTTTTCATCCTGGTTAAAAATCTCCGATCGCCATAGGTTAGCACGCGATCGAGTGGTGCGTCTGCAGTTACCACGGACTACATTACACCCGGCCATGGATATTGTCAAACTAAATTTGCGTTTTGTTTGTATTTACGTTCCTGATTCACTTTGTTTATATTCATGAGTTTTGGGTAGAGTAGACTTTGAGCTTGGAAAGAGTATCTGTGTGTGAAAGAAAAAAAAAAACGATTTTGATCTCCAAGGTGGTATTAAACATCGAGTGTGTTAGCTGAGAATTTTTACAAGTGACCGGTACGAACTTTCCTGAGGTCTCTGAAGCAGCAGATGACGATCGCCTGGAGAAAACCCAGTTTCGGTACCATCGGATCGTCAGATCTAGCTATTACAAAGCTAGTATGATTCTTCAGAATCCGGTCCCTGAATTTTGCAACTTTCAGCCAGATATCGTTGAATAATGTTACCTGAAATAACCGTAAGTTGAATATTTTGTCTTCTAAGAGATTGTTGTTGAAATGCAGTTTGCTTGAATCAAAAGTACCCTGTGTTAATTATTAGATACAGACTGACAATACATGACCATGATTTGCAGTTCAGTGTGAGATTTTCTTGGTGTAAGATAATTGCGAACGTGATTGATACATGTTGTTTCAAACGCAATGCAGTTTAACTGAATAAGAAACATTGTGACTTACGCAGTTGTGAAATGGAAACTTTTGAGTAATTTCCGGCATTAATTAGTAGACATGAAACTTGCACATGACAGTATTGAATTTATTTGTATAGATGGCCGTAACCTTTGGTACTTGAGAATTCCCTTTACATCCACTCTACGTGTACTAACGATAGTTCTGGGTAGCCTAAGCCCTGAAGTCAAGCTGTCCTTGAGAGGGGACTACGCCGGACTCTGTAGCCTGGCTGGAACGCCACGGAACTGGTCGAACACACCGTTACGGAGTGGGAATTTAC